TGGAATAGGAGAAAAAAAAAAAAACAACACAACCATAATCCTCTGAAAAAAGTGGTTCCCCATGCCTGCATAGAGCAATAGGGGAGCTCTTAGTGGGTTTACTTCTGAGTACCGCTGCTTTACCAGAAATATCACCAGCTCCTGCTCTCCTACAGACATCAGGTCACTGTCATACCATCCAACGGCATCCAGTATGGACCTGGTGACAAAAGCTTGCCTCGCTTGGTACACAGTGAAGGTGGGATGAGATGGAATGCAGACAGCCCCACCAGGTAGAGCCAAGAACATCCCCACTTGAAACTTGAGTTTCCTCACTTGGGTCATTAGAAAACTTTCCAAACAATCTCTATTTCTGCTCAACAGTTGCTTCCACCACAATCTGTGAAGGGCTTCAGCCTGCTCCCTTGGAAATTTCTGCTTGGGATTAAATAGGCACGAGATGAGGACCTTGGTATAACTTTTAAAGGATGACAGGCAGCAGCAGACAACAGAACTTCTGAAAAACCTGCCCCTGAAGGGTCTTTATAAACTCTATCAAGCATCCAAATAAAATCAAAACTCCAATTCTAGAGAGATTTTCAGCCCTTGGACGGGGAGAGCATGGACTTAGTAAGCGTTGATCTCAGCACATAGATCCAGAAACATCTTCTCTATCTCCTTGCCCTCAAATGACAGCCCCTATGGATGCGACCCTGGCTTTTCCCAAGGAAAATGCTCCCCCCAAAAGCAATAAAAATAAAAACACTGCAATGTGCTAGAATGCATTACACAACTCTTAGGACCGGGTGCAGGCACTCATTGCGGGGCAGCGCACAAAGATTTGTAGCCACAGAGAGCAGCCGCAGCCTTCGTCCTTCCCTCACCCACAGCCTTGGAAGCCTCTGCTTCTGAGTCATTAACACGTTTAACCCCTCGCAACCTGCGGAGATGGCACAGCCCCAAACTCTCACAGATGCTGAACGTGTAAGCACATGGTAATTGTTTTGCATACGGTTCTGCGTGATAAAGAAACTCCGAGGCGCTTCCAAGTTTTAATAGAACCTTTTTATTCTATCAAGTCTTTATCTTCCCCCCTTCTGTGGCTTTGGGAAAGCAATGCCAGCTCACCAAAGCTGACTCCCCCTCTGCTACAAATACCGCACCTTTTTTAGATGAATACATCTGAAACTGAAGCAGTTACTGGAGAAGTGTTTTCTCGCTTTGCTGCACTGTGATTCTTAAAAAAGAAAGAAAGAAAAAAGCTTTGCTAAATTGTGTAACCTGAGTGTCACAGCAGAAAAAAAATAAGATCTAACCTCCCTGTCCACCTGGGCACTGCAACTCCCCCTTATCAGGGTGATACAGGGCAGGTTTACGTCTCATTACCTTTCACATTTTAACTACCAAGTTTACCAAAGGTTTTACTCCACTGTTATCGCACAGTTTTTGTTTGCTTTTGATATTATGGAAACTTCCTGGTCATTTGAGCCAAGGAGCTGATACTTAGGGGGAAAGAACATCACACATTGGGATCACAGTGCTGTCACGGCAGGAATAAAAAGCCTTTCTCCACTCATCCAGGTCTCTACATCCTATCTCTGCCACCCGGCAACCTGAACTGTGAGCTATCAGGAAGGGGGCATCAGGGCTGGCGGCTCCAATTCAGAGAAAAAGTACCAGATCACACAGATAAACGGCCCCAAGAGTGGCCAACAGCAAGCCGATAAGCTATGGAGGAGGCCCAGGAGAAAAAGGCAATGAAAGACCTCATATGAGGCTTCAGTCGTGGTTTAGCTAGCTGTTTGCTCAGGGGGTGCTTTGGGACTTCTCCTCTGGCGGGTGCTGAGTCAGCAGGCTGCTTCAAAAAGCCAACAAAACGGTATGCAGAGCCAGACCAACCGGCTGGCAGGGCACAGGGAAAGTTACGAGCGTGCAGCACACTGAGAAAAAGGGAAGTCCTCTCAGACAGGGAAAGGAAATAAAAATCGAGTGGGTTTCATTGATGCCCGGGTTTAGCCTAGCTGGGAAAAAGTCACCAAACTCACTCTATCCTTTATAGAGCTACTGTAAATTTGTAGCATTCATGATCAGTATCCCTTCCCAACAGTGCCGATGTGTTCAGGGGATTCATAAAAGTGAACGTGCTGGTCAAAGTGGCTTAGTTTAATTGCAGGATTTAATTAGCAGATCAGCACTTTTGCGACACAATCTTCAGATTCACTTTCATCATGTTCCCTATCCAGTGCTGTTCATAAAGTCTTAATTAAAAGGGAAAAAAACCCTCAGATTTAATTGGAGTGACCTCTGTCAATACGCGGTGCTATACAGCTGCTGTCAGGTGCTGTAACGAGTCAGTCCCTGCACTGCCATAGGCTCTCTGGTTCTCTATTTGCTAGGTAAGAGACAACCAAGAAAAGCCATATTTCATCACCTTTTCCTTTGTCCTCTAATTTAATCCCTCAATAAAATATGCTAGACTCAACATAAAGGACTTCATTACCTTCTTCTGCAGCTATTCTTAAAGAACAAATGGATCAACTTTTTACCTCAGCACTGTATCACTCATAGCACTGAATCCGAAGGATTTCAGGTCTCGGGCACAAGATCAGGAGCACTACCCATTTACAATGGGCCCTTTATAGAGTTTCAGAACACTTTCCTGAAGGGAACCGCTCCGGTGCTGTGTGGCACACACTCAGCACAAGGGCAATTTAGGGTGAACTTTGGAACATCTGGGTATACAAAGCTCAGCAGAGCGGCCTGAACCTCTGCCATCGGCTGCACAAAACCTATCAGCCCCAGCAAGTGCATCCCCAGTCATTTCCAAGTGGGGAAGTCACCAGAGCCCCTGTGTGCCTCTGCTGGACTGGAACCTGAATTCACACATTCTGCTCTGTGACAACGTGACCACAGCTAAGGGACCATCAGTCCTGGCTCCTAAAAGAGCTCAGCTTTCCGCACAAACTTCAGAATTTAACACACACACATGGCTCTGTAGCACCAGTACCAGAAATCCCAGAAATTCCCCTTTTTTCTATGTACATTTCTGGTAGATGGGATGGATATCACAAGTTTTGCAAAGCAAAACGCTGCCGTTGGTCAGCCCTGCTCTCAGAGCAAGCAGCGTCACTTGACATGCACAAATCGTACCCAGTAATATCTTTATCTGAATACTAATGCAAATTGGACGGGCTTTTTTACAGGGATGTCTATTCTGTGACTGCTGAATAGAGTGACCGCATGCTCAGGGCTGCAAAGGAGTTCACTGACCTCCCTAATCATCTCTGCCATAGCCCCTGAATGACACACACATTCACTCCTGCCTCGCCTCTCCGCTTTCATTCATAAAAAAAAGAGAAAAAACACAACGGGGGGGGGGGGAGGAAATTTTGACATTGTTCTTCCTGCGGCAGCCTCGAGAAAGGGAGAGGGGAGAAACTCAGCCCAGATGAGGCCCCTGGTGTTTTGAGTTGAGCTTCTATTCAGCAACAGCCCCGCCATCTGCCTCCTTCCTGCCAGCAGCCCAACACCTCCCCGCGGAGATGTTAAAACCTGCACCCCTCCACCTCTGCCAGCAGCGCGCGTCCGTATTAGCAAACACACACATACCTCCAGAACGCCTCCCCTCAATGTGTGTTTTATGGAGCTGGGGACAGGCACAAAGCAGTAGCTGTTACAGCCTTCACAGCCCCGTGTGGAGAATTAGATCACTGGGGAAAAATCCTTCCAAGCCCCTTTATGGAAAATAAGGCCTTAGACTGTAAATGCAAAGCCCGGCGAACAACAGCCCTCAGTAATGAGCCAACACCCCATGGCCCATTTGATCAGGAGAAAGAATTTGCTTTTTACCATTCCATTCAAAGGCTGAAAAGCAAAATGTGTTTTTACCCGGCTAGGAGGGTTTATGTTCTTTACAGTTTCTTTTGCACAACCTTTTTCCCTCCAAGAGATGCTGTGGGCTGGGCAATGCCAGGCTTCCCACATCTCCACGCACGTGGCCAGTGTCACCCCTAGGGATATCACTGAGTAGCCCATGGGGAACGGAGCCCAGAATGCTCAGTCTTATCCCACTCCCTGGAGTTGACAGTGACACCCACATGGCCACTGTCAGGTTGATACTGACACACATATGGTCATCGACAGCAGCGAGAGAGCCTTATCCCGACGATTTCCAACTCAAGTGAATCTAAAGTCCTATGATTTTCACTGGAAATCCCAAAGCAGTGATATCCCTCCAGGTTAACCCCTCCAAACTGTCCCCCAAATGACAGCACAGAGACTGCCACACGCTCCCTGCCCCTTCACTTCCACCCAGACACCCACCTCAACGCGCTCGCTGCCGTGTTTGACCCATAAATCAATTCTTCTGGCTGTGAAAAATGAGCCAAACGAGTTACACTAAGAATCTGGGGTTTTATTAGGACTTTCTCGAAAACAAAACCAACCCCCGGCATGATTTATGGCTTTAACCAAAAGGAGTATGAAAGTAATGCCCCCACCCCCGGCCTCCGCGAAGCCCATTTATTCCCCTGTCACTTTTTTGGCAACGGGGGCTCAGAAACCCAATGGTGAACAATGGAAACTTTCTGCCGGGTACATGCAACCCTGGAGCCGGGGGGCTGCGAAGGGGCTTCGAAAAACAAACAGGGGCTCAGGGAGCAGCTGAGGCGGATCAGCGAGAAGTTGCAAACCCACCCGAAGAGCTTTTTTTCCTTAAAACAGCTTTTGTACGGCTTTTCCTCGAGAGGAGGTGTTTAGCGGCTCCTTCCCCAACGCCTCGTCCCTAACTCAATGAGTTGCGACTGCTGGTGCGTAAGAAGCCCCCGCCGCCCCAAGCACCGCGAAGAACCGGAGGCACAGATCCCCAAAGGGCACTCAGCGCCGAGAGAGCCTTTTCAACAACTGTTCAAAATCCATTTTCCCTCCAGAGCACCACCACCACCACGCACGATCCCGCCGCTTTCATTCATAACTCCCGCTCCGGCCGTTCCCATCCGCCCCGCGTACGCTGCCCTCCTTACCTGCCGCCTGCCCGCCGCTTCGCTCTGCTCCGCGCCGCCGCGCCGCCGGCAGCGCTCCGACGGCCGCCGCTAGGCACAGGCACCAGACGGAGCCCCAGGCAGCCCGCATCCCTCCGGCGCGGCTCCGGGGCAGCGAGGCCGCCGCCGCCGCACCGCCGCCCGCCTCAGACATCCCCCAGCCGCATGCTGCCGCCGCTCAGCGCTCCGCTCCGCTGCTGGGCTGCCGGGAGAGGGAGAGAGCTGAATGCGGGAGGAGCTCCGCACGGTCCTCCCGGGGTTGGAGTGGTGGGATGAGGGAGGGGGAAAGGTGAAATGGGGATAGAAAAGGGAATGGGGGTAAGATGGGGATAAAAGGGGAAACAGAGATGAAAAAGGGAAATGGGGGTTAAAGAGGATAATGGGGATTAGAAAAAAGGGAAAACAAGTGAGAAAAGGGAGAATGGGAATAGAAGGGGATAAAAGAGGGTAATGGGGGTAGAAGTGAGAAATGAGAATATGAAGGGAAAATTGTGATTAAAAACGAGAAAATAAGCGATAAAAGAGGAAAATAAGTGATCAATGGGGAAAATAAGTGATAAAGAGAGAAAATAAGTGTCAAAAGGGGGAAATAGCACTTAAAAAGTAATACAAGAAAACTAGTAATAGAAAAAACAGTAACAGAAGAAAAACAGTAGTAAGAGAAAAAATAGTAATAAAATGGAAAAAAAAAAAAAAAAAGCGATTAAAAAGTAGGAGATCCAAGAAGCGCCCGGGGAGGCTCTGAGCGCGGCGGGGCCCTCCCTACCTGCGCAAGCTCCGCGGCCGCCCGCGCACCGCGCATGGAGGAGCCGCCGCCTCCCTCCCGCCGCCGCGGCGCTCCTGCGTCTGCCCGCGGCGGCTCCGGAGCGGAGCGGGGCGGCCGCGCTGTCCCCGCCCGCCGGGCCGAGCCGCCCGCCCCGCCGCCCCGCCCCGCCCCGCTGCCGCCGCGGGGGGCCGCGCCCGCCGCCCGCTCCGCTCCGCGCCCGGCCCCAGCGGGGGCCCGAGGGGGGAGGTGGGAGTGGGGAGGGAGCACGCACGCTTTTTATCTGGGGGTGAAGCGAAGCGAACGGTCCTGGGTTGGCTGCGGGTCCCGTGGCGGTTCTGTGCCGGGACACACGTCCGCACGTTGGTTTTGTTTTGTGACCCTGTAACTGCAGGGTGTGCTTTCTGAAGGGAGGCGGAAGGGCAGAGCTGGAAAGGGATCTGTTGGTCGGGGCGACCCGGGAGGGCGCAGCGTGGTGAAAGGGAGCTCGCTCATTGTACCCCAAAGTGAAGCTGCCGGCACTCCTTCACTCACCGGGGACCCGGAGTTTGTTACCGACAGGAGGAATCACAGCTTACTTGGGGCTCTGCGCTGTGGCAAAATCTGATCCAGTGTCACCGGTGTGTGAACAGCTCTCACGGAGGGTGGTTTTGTGGGCATCTCCCGCACCACCACAACCACCCCACCTGAGCAATGCACACCGCTCATTGCCTCCACGCAGGGAGAAATCACAGCACTGCTCTAGGAGAAATCACAGCACTGCTGTAATCCCCTGATGCAGCAGCACGCTCACCAAAAATAGATGCAAGTATCAGAGCTGGGAACACTTGGCATCGGGGGCCCAAATGCACCGAAGACTGAGTGTAACAGCTATACTCCAGGCTGTTTGGGTCCCAAAGATGTGCACGGAGCTGGGGATGGCTCAGAGCTCCCAGGTTCTGTCCTGACACCTTCATCAGGCGTGGGGGTCTGACATCTCAATACCACCGCATTGTGTGAGAGCAGAGAGGAAATGCTCCATGTCAGACAGACCCTCACCGCTGACACCAGCGGGTTTAAAGGAAAACAATGGAGGGAAAAGCAGTCTGCAGAATACAGCATGGTTATGACACCATCACGGAGGTGGCTTTTTGGAAAAATGAGGCTGAGTTCTGATCTCAGGATTCACAGGAAATCAAAGGGGCATCAGGGTACTCCTGCATGAAGGACTTCAGGTTTGCACTTCCTTTGTAGCAGGGGCATTTTTAAGATTTCTTCTGAGTAACTCTCAAGCAACATGTGTAGAACTGATATGAAGTGCAGACTTGGGGAATTCTTTGTCATTTTTTAGGACTTAATGCCATGAGCCATATATTAGTGATGTGCTCAGTGTCTGAGCCTGTCGCCATCATTGTCCTGGGAAGGGGATTTTGGGAGCCTTAGGAGTGCTTGGAGTCATTCCTTCCTCCTCTCCATCCAGAACAGAGGGACAGGATGGGCTGTGAGGTGTCCCAAAGGCCTTGGTCCTAATGAGTCCTCTTTGGTGACACTGTGTGCTGATGTGGGTGGGGACGGCATGCAGAAAGCAGTGCCCAAATCAATGTGAACTGGAGCAAATAAGTGGGGAGGGTTAGACTGTAATGTAAAATTTAATGTACCAAGAAAGATAGATCAGAATTACCGAGAGCTGTGGTCACGTGAGTCTGAATCCAATCGGGATGAGAAATTTGAAGTGAAGTAAGAAGAGCAAGCTGGAGAGATGCACATCTCTGCTGCAAGAATTGTGTATGGAGAGGTGCTGGCAGAGGTACAGTAATTTGGCAGCCTGGAGAGCAAACAGTTGGAGGAGCAGTGAGGAAAAAGCCTGGAGAGAGCCTGAGGAGGGTGTGAGATTTCCAGCTGATCCCCAAATACTGCTGACTCAGCAGGGCTGGTCCCCAACGAGCATCCCTTCCTCTGAGATGCTGATCACTGAGTTTTCCCAGTCGTTGGAGTAAATGATAGAAATGCTCAGGAGCCTGGAGGGGAGGAGACAGGAATGGCATGTTATCTCACTGCAGGCAAAGACTGCAATGTGGAGAAAAATTGGTCATTCTTTGCACTGCCTTAATACTGCCTGTGTGCTCCACAAGGCAGAGCTCACACACTGCCTGCTTCCAGCCCTGCCACACTGACAGGCCCACTTGTACAGCCGTCTCCTTGCAGTCCCTGCCGTGGCTTTATTGTTCCAAAGAGTGCACACTCTGGGTCAGGCATACAGCAGCATTCTTGAAATCCAACTCCTGGTTGGTGGCTTTTGGTTGTAAGACCATGTTCATCTTCATTCTAGCAAAGTGATATTGAGCTCAGGGACCCTGCGCTAACTGCAGAAATGTGATCCCCTCCCGGAGCGTAGTGATGCCCAGATCAAACACAGCAAAGAATGCAACCTGTGGTTGGGGGGGTTTGGCCTCCACCATCCCTGAAAGGCCTCCATGTAGTATTTGTGGCAGAAATAATTTCATTCATCATTAAGAGAAAAACATTTGTGGTGTGTAAAGTGGCAGTTATGTAAGAAATTGGATTGGAGGTAGATAGGTATTGACTTTAAGATGTTGTGTGGAGTCAGTGCCTTTAATCAACAAGGGAAATGTTTGAATGTTAATAGAACTAACAATGAAACCAGAGTCGTGTTTTGACAAGTATTTCCAAACATTCCAGGAACACTGCGATGCTCTAGCAGCAGGTTTCTTAGGAAGGTAATTGATTGCTCAAGCTATATCAGGGTTTACTGTGTTTACTGTGTGTGAGCAGCCTCACACCGCTGAGGGTGGCTCTGCTGGAGGTGGGGAGGTGGCTGCTTTTAATGAAGGACTGATTTTGTCCCCACAAATTATCCTGCAGGCATGTTAGAAGAGAGGTGAGCTCAATGCTGGAAGCTCCTCGTGAGAAGTTCTTTTCTAGATTATCCCTCCATCCTAGCCCCATTCCTCAAAGTGTTCAAGGCCAGGTTGGTTGAAGCCCTGGGCAGCCCAACTGGGTGGTTGGCAACCCGACCCATGGCAGAAGGAGTTGGATTTTGGTAACCTTTAAGGTCCATTCCAACCCAAGCCATCTGTGACTCTGTGATTCTACGATCATAGAGAATTGAGCATGGTGGTTGTTGTTTCCCTTCATCTGTTGGATTTTGCCCCTTTTTTTTTTTTTTTTTTTTTTTTTTTTTTTCATTGCTGACACATATCACCTCTCTCTGTTCTGAAGATAAACACTGAATCATTCAAAAGTGACCAGAAAAGTGCTGGGGAACAAATGTATCTCTGAGATCAGCCCTGTGAGTCTTTGCCATGCTTTTCTCACTGATTCTGGTTTAAGTCAATAGATCAGATAAATCATTGATGAGCATTTGGAAACATGAGATGGTAGGTACTGCTTGAGAACTTTGTCAACGATTGACCAGATGGTCAAAGGTGGATTTTGTTTTTATGGAGAAGACCCACAGTTTACTCCCAGATTTATTATTAACTGCATAACTCTGTTAGTTTCACACCCTCTTTGAGTATCTCCCGATACTGCAACAGTTTGCCACCCTTCTCTGCATAAGTTGAAAAAGTGAAGTTAGCAAAGCATGAGTTGGGAACCTGATGGAACTGGGCTATCCCTATGGCCAATGAAGAGAGTCAGATGCTTTCAATATGTGATTTTTTGAACTGAACTGGTTCTCATGGTGGCTGTCTCTCTGTACTGATAATGGAGAGATCCTGGATGCTCAACAACCAAGGATCTGGCCATGAGAAAAGAAAAGAGCTAGGAACGACAGGCACAGATTTCACCTCTGATTCTGAGCTGCTATCACTGAAAGCTTCATTTCTCCAAGCATGCTTGAAGTCAGCATCAGTGCCCACCACTATTTCACATTGATGCAACATCTTTAAATCTGAAAAATGATTTCTTTGCAAATCATACCCAAGTATGCTTTCAGTAGTACCAAGAGGCAAATGGCTACTTCTGAAGGCATATCTGCAGCAAAATCCTAGTCTTCCTTAAAAATAAAACCAAAAAAATGCAACCAGAATAACCAGTGGTTTTCAGTCAGTGGTTTTCCATCTTTTTCATTTGCAGACATCGACATTTTTTCCAGCAAAGGTTCAGCCCCTTGTATACTTAAATTGAAGCCTACTGACAATAGGTTCATTTTTCTTGTAAAGTTTTTGTAGACCATTCAGAAGTAGTCAGGGTATCCCCAGAGACCCACAGACTACAATGAAAATGATTGAAATCTGCTATATATTTATTCTTCTGTAACTAAATATGATTTTTTTTAAATTTTTTTTATTTATTTTTTTTTTTTTTGGCCTTGTATTTATACAGACTGTCTACTTCAGCCTCTGTAGTGTCTGGAATCAGGGCCTGGTGGTGAGGGGGACAGAAATTTGCTCCAAGGCAGTGTTATAGTAACATAAATATTATTTAGGTATTTTCAATTGATTTAGTGATATCCCTATGTGGACAGTAACTGTGACATCAGCTGGGAACATTAATGAACAAATCAAGTTGCTCCACTTAATCATTTGTTGCCAAACCTGATGCAAGGAGTGGAGAAGAGTTCAAGTGAATCAGGAGAATAGGAGTAATTGTTGAAAGACTTAATGTAGTTTACACAGAAATGGCTGCTTAATTGCTTCTTAATTGCTCTTGGTAAGCTCATGGGAGGCAGCATGCAAACAGTGCAGATTATACAAACGTCTCCAGCCCAGCTCTGAAGCACAAACCTTGATTTCAGTGTGGGATAGAAGAATATGGAGGTGAGCACTTCAGAAAGCAATGAGGGGCAGCTGCAGCATCTATTGTGCTCACACAAGTCACCCGACTGAGACAGCAAATTCATGTTGTTTTCCAAAACTCAAGCATAGTATTAGTAATATGCCATGGTTAAGACAAAAGGGTTGCATATTGCCAGGAATATATT